TATTTCTTTTTATCGTCAAATAATATTTCATTGTATGGATATACCACATTTTATTTATCCATTCATTGGTTGATGGACATTCGAGATGTTTCCACATTTTGGCTACTATGAATCATACTGCTGTGAACATATACAAGTTTCTTGTGGACATACGTTTTCATTTCTCCAAGAGACTTTTGTTATTAGTTTTGCTTTATTAAAAAAATTAATCATGTGAAACCAGTTGTTTGACATTACACAGAAAAAACAGTGGTTGGCTTAACTGAACTATTTACTTTGTCAATCCAGTATTTTGTTATTATATAGAACATCTAAGTTTGTTTTGGTTAATAACTTACTTTATATCTCATCATTTTTTAGCTCTTAATTTTTTATTACTGTTATCATTACAGTAGTAAGTAAGGATTACCTATTCACAAATCCAAATTTTAATAGGTGTATTTACCTTAAGGGAGGTGGACCTGTAAGTCTTACAGTTTTTCTAATAATTACAGTGGAAAATGTGCCTTGTTCATAAAACTTCTATTAAAGGATTTGCTTTCAACCAAAGAATCCCTTTTATAAGTTGAATTCTTTATTTGGACATTTTCTACATGGCAGATCTTTTTGTATGAAATGAAGCAGGTGACTTCATTTTTCATATTGAATACAGTACAGAAAAATGAATGATTAAAAGCTGCGTCAAGCTGCATTGTTGTCATACTGTATTTGTGATATAGTATTTTCCCTGGAAAAGAGCAGCAATCAGGCTTAAATTTGGATATACAATACGAATTATACCCTAATCATGAACATTTCCCCATTATTTTGGATAATGAAGTGTTTGAATGTTTATTTTTTTAATTCTGTGTTTTTGCTTGTATTAACAGTGGTGGAAAGTTTTCAACACTACTTCAGAATTTAGGCCCTGAAAATGTGTGACACTACTGTTCTGGTGTTTACATTAATAGTTTTATAGTTTTAGCTCTATTTTTAATTCTTCGATCCATTTTCAGTTAACTTTTGTAAATGGTTAACTTATGGAAAACGTCTTTTGCCTGTGGATATCCAGTTTTCCTAGTACCATTTGTCAAAAAGATTGTCCTTTGCCTGTTGAATGGTTTTGGCACACTTGTTGAAAACCAATTGACCATACATGTTGGGGCTTGTTTCTGAGCTCTCTATTACATGAGTCTGTATGTCTGTCTTCATGCCAGTATCACACTGTTTTGATTACTGTAGCTCTCTATTACATGAGTCTGTATGTCTGTCTTCATGCCAGTATCACACTGTTTTGATTACTGTAGCTTTGTAGTAAGTTTTTAAATCAGGAGATGTGAGATACCCAACTTTATTCTTCTTTGTCAAGGTTGTTTTGGCTATTTGGATCCTTTGAGATTCCCATATGTATTTAGGATGGGTTTTTCTATTTCTGCAAAAAAACACCATTGAGATCTTGGTAGGGATTACGCTGCATGTGTGGATTGCTTTGAGTATTATCATCAGCTTAACAATAGTACATATTTCAATCTTGCAACTTTGAACATGATCTTGTATCTTTTTTTTTTTTTTTAATAGAGACAGGGTCATGCTCAGGCTATGATTTTGTATCTTACAACTTTGCTGAATTATTTTTTTAGATGTGCCAGTTTGTTCTGTGGAATCTATAGAGTTTTCTGCATATGAGATCATGTCATCTATGAACAAAAATAATTTTACTACTTTCTTTCCAAAATAGGTGCCTTTTATTTCTTTTTCTTGCCTAATTGCTCTGGCTAGGACTTTCAATACAATGTTGAATGGAAGTAACGAAAGGCATCATTGTCTTGTTCTTGATTTTGGAGGAAAAGCTCTCAGTCTTTCACAGTTGAGCATATATGATAACTGTGGGTTTTATATAGGCCTTTATCATGTTGAGGAAGTGTCTTCCTATTCCATTTGTATTTAGTATTTTATCTTGAAAGGTTGTTGTTTTGTCACATGCTTTTTCTACATCCATTCAGATGATTATGTGGGTTTTTTTCCTCTTTGTTCTGTTAAAGTAGTGTATTACATTGATTGGTTTTTGTTTGTTGAAACATCCTTGCATTCCAGGAATAAATCCCTCTTGGTTATTGTATGTAGTCCAGCTATAGTTTGGATGTTTGTCCCCTCCAAACCTCATGTTGAAATTTAATCCCCACTGTTGGAGGTAGGACCTAATGAGAGGTGTTTGTGTCATAGGGGTGGATCCCTAGTGAATGAATTGGTGCTGTCCTGCAAGCAATGAGTGAGTTCTTGCTCTGTTGGTTCCCAAGAGAGCTGGTTGTTAAAAAGAGCCTAGCACCTCCCACCTCCCCCTTCTCTCTCTTGCTTGCTCTCTCACCATGTGATCTCTACCTATTCTGCCCTTAGTGGAAGCAGCCTGACGCTTTGACCAGATGCCCAATCTAATAGCCAGCAAAATCATAAGCCAAATAAACCTCTTTTCCTTATAAATTACCCAGCCTTCAGGTATTCTTTTATAAGCAACACTAAGTGAACTAAGATAGTTTCTTTTAAAATTTTGCTGAATTTGGTTTGCTAGCATTTTGTTGAGAATCTGTGCATCAATATTCATAAGGTCTCTAGTTTTCTCTTTTTTTGTGATGTCTTTGTCTGACTTTGGTATCAAGTAATGCTGACCTCATAGAGTGAGTTAGGAAATGTTCTCTCCTCTTTACTTTTATAGAAGAGTTGGGAACGGATTGGTGTTTCCATTCATTTATTAATCCCTTGTTACCAGTGTATAACCAAGTACCATACTAAAGTACAGTACCCTTGAACGACGTGGGTTTGAACTGTGCAGGCCCACTTATACATGGAATATTTTCAACTAAATCTGAAAATACATAATTCATTGGATTTGAAAGCCATGTATTTGGAGGGACAACTTTGCATATATGTAGACTCCACAGAGCTGACTATGAAACTTGAGTAGATTTTTGAGTAGTATACAACAGGGGCCCTGGACCCAATCTCTTGTATATACCAAGGAACAACTGTGTATCTTTATTCTGCCCATTGAGGTCCAAATCATCATGATCTCTCATTTTAACCACTTAGTCATTACCTCATTGGAGACTCCACTTTCATTCTTGTTCTGCTCCAGCTCATTTACCTCACTGTACCCCAAAGTGATTTTTTTAAATTGCAAATCTGTTTATGTTACTCTCTTGTCTTGTATTATTTTCACTTTTAGTGGCCCAGAAAACCAATCATAGCTCTGCGAGACTCCACACATCAACTGGCCCTTCCTCTCCAACTTCATCTCATCCTCACTCACTGTGCTCTGACCACAATTGCTTTTTTTAGTTCCCATACAAACCAAGTTTTCCCACCTTTGGACAAAATGTTATTTCTTAAATGTCTCTCTCCTTTATTACAGGGGTGGCAAACTGTTTGTAAAGGATAAAGTATTAAATATTTAGGTTTTGAGGGCCCTGAGTTCTTTGTCATGACTACCTAACTGTGCCATTGTCCAATGAACATGGCCATGAAAGCCAGGTACAGTGGCTCATTCCTGTAATCACAGTAACTCAGGAGGCTGTGGCAGGAGGATCGCTTGAGGCCAGGAATTAGAGACCAGCCTGGGCAACAGAGGGAGACCCAGTCTCTTTTTAA